ACGGTGTGACTAGATTTAGAAAACACTTAATTTCAGTTGGTAACACTTTACTAGACATAGTATAAGTAATTATATCACCAAAATTAGTAACTACCAACTCAAAATAGTTGCATAATAGGAAGGTTTGCTAGGATTGGCTACAATTTATGTACAATTAAGTACCCGACATGAAGACGCTGGTATCGTCATTGGCACAGCTGGCCACTATATAAATAATTAAGACGTTTACTGAAAACAAGTAATTACATTCTGTAGGTCCAACATTATGGTCAGGTAGGTAAAAAGAAAAACTAGCTATCAGAAACAAAGGAAAATAACTGAAGCAATTACAGAACATGTAATTAAAACAATATTTAATAAATAATGATTGTGGGGTTTGACCTACAGTAGAATTTTAATGTAAGCAATAATTAACCAATTACATCACATTCACCAACATCATAATTATCATGGGCATCATCTTTTATGTCCATCAGCCACACATACATCCAGCTTATCTGCAAGTCTCAACAACCACTTAAAATGTTTGAGCTGAGAAGCCTTAAGCCTCTATTTGTTTAGTAATTTCATGACTGGCTAACCTTCCTTCTCTGGGGCATCTCTCTGGCTCAGTTAGAGCTGCATGTGTGTATGTGTGTGCATTTGTGCTCATCAAGTAATATAACACTTCACCTCAATGTATACCCATTTTTCACACAGTTTTTTATATCTTTCCTCCTCAGCCCAAAATGCATCATCTAGCCCAAAATGTTTCTCACCCATTGCCCACAGACTCTTATGCGTCCAGCATCCATTAAGCAAGAACATTTTGCCACTATGAAGTTGTCTGGTGTGTGCCAGCAGTCCTGTAACTAAAACAATGTCAAACATTGACATTTTCCTGCAGATATACTGACAGATCATGTCAGCTTACGTGCCTTATAAATATGACAACACTAAACATTGTTAAGCATTAAAAGCTATTTAATTTGTCAGGAGGCAGTGGAGACGCCCTGGGGCAAAGAGAAGATAGTCTTTCCCCACCCCATTGGCATGTTATTGCATTCGTAAACTGTGTCATAAAGCCCCATATCAGGCCCATTTGTTTCCTATTGCATCATGTGTTGCATTTTCACTGCAAGTGGTTGGCTGAGGAGACCAGGACCGCCGCCTGATGGTCCCAGACCATCAACTGATCAGTGATGGCAAAAATTCAACATGTGGTCATTAAAGAAAAAGTGTTACTGATACGTTTAGCTTTCTGCAGCTATTACAGCTAAAGGCATGTTGACAGTCAGCTACGGACAGATTTGACTCTCTCTGCAAGAACTGATGTACAGTGTATCCAGATGTAGCCAAGTGAAAAAGTAGTTAGTAGTATTATTTGATATTTTTAGTCAAGGGGATGGCAAAATATAAACTTCTATCACTAATGGAGGCTGTACGGACTTTGGCCAAAGAGCACGAAGCAGCAGATGTAGCGTGGATGTAACCAACTGTTCCAGAATCGATCATGGACATTGCTGAGGATTTTATGTGGGACACATTAAGTGCTTGCAAAAACATGAGTTTTGTTTATGGATTTATTCTTTGTTAAACCCATTTTGCCTGAGCCTTGGTAATCAGATGAGAATAGAATGTTTTGTAAAGGTAAACTCTAAAAAGAACCAGGAGTCATTTTCATTTCATTTAATGGATAAGCAACCTTATTACCTTTATTTTCGACTCTTCTCAGTTTTATGTTTTAAGTACAGAAAGTCTAGGTCAAATTATTCATTGGCAACAGGTGTCCTGCGAATCTCGAGCAACTTTAATACTGCTCTCTCATTTATTGAGTTGTCTGGGAATAAATCCCTTATTTCATTTTCATAAATTGTGTCCTGCGGTGTTATTTCCCCCTGGTTAGATTTATGCAAGTATTGTATATGGATTTTTTGGCAGTGGCACTGTTTAAAATACGACATAGGAATAAGTAAACACGTAAAGAAAATTGAATGATTTTATATGTGGTAACTCACAAATGCATGTTCAGCCTGTCTCTACACAAAGATACAAATTCTATGCTCACACTGTACGGATCAATCGACCAGACACAATGTAGCTGCTCAAACTGAACATAAACATTATTGGTTTTGTCCACTAACAATTCCAATAAAATGTCATTCAAACAAGATGGTTATATCCTCATACATGTTGACAAAAAAGAGAAAGAAATGCAGCATTACTTTGTGCACATCCAAAAATATGCTCTGTCTGTTTCGCAGAGACGTTTAACTGTGCTGCTTAAACAAACTCTACAGTTTATAATGGATCTTTTCACAGCAGCTATGTTGGGAATTTGATCGCAGAATGGCCAAAATTGCAGACATGCCAAAAATCCAGCCAATCATTCAACAGCCAGATTGTTGATCATTCAGGCAATTATTCAGGTGCCATAACCACTCTCAAACGACAGCCAATCTCACAGAAATTTGGCCCGATTCTAAAAGAATTCAGTGTCTGTGAAATATCTGCCCAGTTTAAGATAAAAGTTGGTAGTTTTTGCAGATCTGCATGAAATTCTAGCCTCAAATGCATGATCCAGACAAACTTCCCAAGATTACAGATGACAAAGTCCTTTAACATTAACCATTCTTTTTGCATTTAAACATTTTGCACTGTGTCTACATGTATGCGTAGCATAATGCATATGTACGGCCTCATGGAATCAGTGTGTCTGATGGCTGCAGTGATACAGAGAGTTATCTAGCATTGTGCCTGTTACAGACATGCCACCATCATGACTGATACATCTCTTCCATCATTTCTCCTCTCTCATTATTCTTCAAAGTGGTACTTTCTACTCTGGGTCGAGTTACATCCACCTTGTTTAAAATGTTAGAGTAAAATAAACTGAAGTTGAAGCTTGGAATTGTTGCAGCCTTCTCCCTATCTGAACCAAACAGTCTGTAGATGACAGTAATACACTCTGGCGGGGTTGGCTGGTGGCCCAATGAATCATGCCTTAGGGTCGGGTTCCTACCCCATGGGAGGCATGGATTTGGGGTGTGCGGTAGGTAGTCGGCTAGAAGGTTGTAGAAGCAGGGAGTTCTCCTGCTGTTACTTCTTGTTAATCCACAGTTCACTGACAGGTGTTAGCAACAGTGTCTCAGTTTCACTCTGCAGTGTTCTACAAATTCACCAAATGACTTCACACCGTCCTTCACTCTCCCTCACTTACTCCTTCCACAGGAAAAAACAAGCACACGCACACGCACACACACACACTAACACATGGACCTACATGCACGCCTGCGCACCTGCCTCCCTCTCATCGCCATCAAACCTTGGCTCGCTTTCAGTCGCTGTTTATTTGAGTGGCAGAATTTTTTTCGATTTTGCAGTCTGAAACACTGACACATGAGTCACTCATCTCCCCCCCAAGACAAACACGAGCCTTTGTCTCTCGCTTCACATCAATTCAAGGCCTCCAGTCTTCGCCAAATGTCTTTTTAATGAAAACTGCATCGTCTCATCACTCAGTGAGTGTCTAATGGCTCCTGTATTGCTGCAGGTACCAGAGAGAGGTAGGGATATCTGGCACAGGAAAGCAGAACCTAGGACCAAGACAAACAACACTCGTGCACGCCCACAAACACTTTAGATTTCAGCCTCACCGAGTATCCAGCAAATCCAGAAGTGCATGCAATTAGTCTGGCTTCTCTTGCTCCCATGACGAACAGGAACAGTGCGGGTTGTTAGAGCAAGATATTTCTGAGTTCATTTAATCATCAGAGACTGTGAGGTGTGAAAAAAAACAAGTGAACAGGAACAAAGCAGTTTTCAATAAAATGGAGTGGCTAATGAGGACTAACGCTTAAAAATCAGACCACATAAATGAGAGTATAATCATATATATGCACATAATCATGTATGGCAGGTGAAAGCCCCATCAGCCATAACTTGATTGCATTGTATATGCCAAATCAAGGCACAAAAGGGTGAAATCATAGTTCTCACCTCACATTTCCTTCCCTGTCTTCTCCTCTTTTCTTCTCTGCATCCTTCTCTTTTTTCCCCCTCCCGGTCATCTCCTTTTCTCCCATCTCCCCTCCGTTCATTGTCTTTCCTCGCCTCACCTCACCTGCCCCTCCTCTCCCTTTACTCGACTCTCCTCACAGAGTGGAGGATTTGCTTGCTGATCCTGATCCCACACACAAAAGAAGGGTGGATAATCAGCTTCCTCTCTCATCCGGCCTGAATCGGTCCTCTTCAGAATTCCCACATGATGCCATGCCTTCCGAAAGCGGACTGTTAGCCATTATCCCTCATCTACTCAGCCACTCATCCCTAATCTTTGGCTCCCTTATCCCTGCTCCTTTTGGTTTCCGCGCTTCCACATCCAGCAGTCGCAGGATAGATGTGATGCAGTCTGAAATGAGGATACCATTTTGAACTTGTGTCGATGACCAAATACACATCTAGTAAAACAATGTGGGAAAAACATTATTTGCAATCAACTCTGGATATTCAGTCGCTAGCTGCTTTGATTGCAGCTCTACTGCTGATGAGGCATATTCAGAGTGATACTGCAGAAGGATGTGACTGGGTGCTGATACATGTAGCAAAAAAAAAGACTAAAGCTGTGTCTAAATTCCACAATAATTCTAATCAGGTCTTGTATAGTAGTTGTATATTCACACTTGAAAAAGTAACAAAATAAAAAGTGTGCTCATGATGGACACTATTGTCCAGTAATACAATTAAAAGAAAATGTTACAGAAAATGTGTAGTTACTAAAAGCTGAAAAATGTGTTTACCATGTTCACTATCTTAGTTTAGCATGTTAGCATCCTAAAATTTAGTATTGGGACAAAGTACAATTTGAGGAAAATGGAAATGTAAGTGGTTTTACAACCAAAGCAGCTGACGAATTGTAAGAAAATGTAAGACATCACCAAAGTCACTATCAATTTTCTTAGAACCACAAATGCTTGTGTAACCCGCCTCAGCTCTAACTGTTAATGGTTAAGACTGGGGGATACAGGTATGTTTATTTATTAGTGCATTAATTACCTTGTGGACCAGAAAATCAGAAGTCTAGATCGCTACAGGAGAAAGGGGTATTAGCAATATTGCATTGAGTGAGAGTAAAGGATTCACACAACCAACAGGTAAGTTTTAAGTATGTTATATTGTGTTGAGTAAAGAAATAAAATTGAGAATAAGAAAAAAACAAATTTAAATTGTCCACATAACATGAGATATCAACACAGTTCTCAATAAACTCAATCACTGAATAATCACAGTCTCTGTTTGGGCGGCTCGCCACTGCCACTGAGGTTCCCCTCTACCTCTAAAGAATGGGGGAAATCCCAGCGGAAGAAGAAGAAGTCATCTTCATGCAGATCTCAACCCGGAAATCCAACCAAAGAAAATAAGACCCGGCCTATAAAGGCCAAAAGAGGGTTATTTAAATATTCATATAAAGAAAATATCCTTTTAAATGTAAATAAATGCATATGAACACATATTTATACATATATATTGTAACATTGTTCCCTGATAATAATTTTAACTACTCTTTACTGTGCATTAAATGAACTGAACACATTTCTCATTAATAACATGAGACAAAATGCTTAACATTTCTTTCTCCCCGCCACTCACTCTCAGAGAAACAGAGTGGGGGTAAACAAAACACCGTAATATAAAACACAGAAACATATTTCTGACACAACATACATGAAATTAATGCCTCGTTAATTCCTATTAACATTAGCAATTGCACCTTCCAACTCCATTTATCAGTCTAACTTCAGTAAAGTTTACTCACCAGAGGCTCAAGCATCACATATACACACACTCCGGGTACAAGGCAGAACACAGCTCTCATCAGTCCAGGTTTCACTTTTGAAGAGACAGGGCCGGGAGTTCAGTAACGTATAACCTCAAAACAGAATTTAGCGGAGTAAATGTGGCTAATAGCACGGGCTAGCGCCATGCTGCTAATAAACACAACTCACGTTCTCCTTCGTCTGTCACAAAACACACGGTCCGCTAATCAAGAAGAAAAGCTTCGCTCTCTGCCCGACGATAAAATTAACGTTGGGAAGACGTTGGAATATTTGGCTCTCTTACACAGAACAGTGATATCTGCAGCAACAGGTTAGCATGACGCCACCTTGACGTTGGTCCGGCAGAGAGAGAAAAACACGACAGCACGCACACCTTGACGGCGTCTCCTTGGTAACGCTACGTTACATCACGTGAACTCCCAATGTCACCCGAATCTTTCACACTTTCAGAAAGGCACATTCACCACACTTTAAATAAACAAAATATTATTTGTAAACAGACATGAATAACCCGTTTATATTAATTTCTTATAATCTATTAATTTATTTATTGACATATTTAAGATTTTAATCCTAAATCCTATTTATTCACTTGTGTAAGATTATTTTAAATCAAACTCTATGTATTTATCTGTCACATAGAAAATATGAATTTATTAATTTTTTGATCTAATCAACTAACTGATAGACTGGACTTCTAATAAGGGCCTAGTAACCTGGGTTACACTTGACATGAGGAGTCAAGGCAACAGGCATTTAACAAAATGAGACATCCATCCTTCAGAGCCATCATTTTAAAGCAATGATATAAGCATCATCTGTCCAATGTTTAGTTATATCCTACTGCTGTATTTTATTATCTGTTGGATGAACAACAGTGTTCATAACTATCATATTTACATTTATTTAAATCCAAATGTGGCATAGTGTGTATAGATGAGATAGATTTTTATTTTTCATGTTCAACACACACACACACACACACACACACACACACACACACACACACACACACAAAATTATAGTTAAAATTGAATGATTAGTATGACAGGAACATTTTTATTTAATTAAAACCTGAAAGTGCTATTTCCTGCAATACTGAGCCTTCAATCATGACCAATAAAGCTGACCTTTCACCATAAAGCTTATTTTATACTGCACTTTTATATATAAAGCTAAATTCCCGTTAAGAAAAATTACATATTAACAATTCCTAACATGTCCGTAAAACAACTCCATACATGAAATAAAGGGAGTCACATGTTGACATTGTGTCAAGTCAACTCGTAACCAGCCACCGTTGTGAGCGGGAGAAGATGGTGGGAATGAGAGCAAGATGTTTAAAAAATTACAAATTTTCACTATAAAGTGCTGTTTGGTGGATCAGATCTATATGCAGATGAGGCACAAAATAGAGAATGTGAACCGCCATCAGTCCCGGTCTCCCTCGGTTTTTGTCTGTGAGCATGTTGGCCTGGTCATCCCTTCTTCACTCTTCTGGCTCCCAGCTTAGCGGCATCTACACACAATCATCTCACGATCCCTCCCAGTTCACTCACCTGCCTCTCACCATGTCATCAACCTGCAGTATATCTACTCCGGCTCTTCAAACACTCGTTGACCAGATTGTTGTTTTAAACGCAGTGGTAGCTACGCTTGGGCTGAACATCTCTGATACTTAAGCTCTTTAAGGTTTTACTTCCAATCATTTTCCTCGTGACTGTCTCTTGTGCCTCAGCATCACCGCCTGCTTCCCTGCCTCCCCCGTTTGCCTTCTGCCAGACGCACTTCCTCTCATTCACCGCTGCTCACACCATCTCCTCAGCCATTGTTCCCAAACTCCCTTTGGATCTCCAACGTCCGCCATCTCTTTTTCATCAAATCCAATAAAGATTTTAATGATTCCCTGTCTGAGTCCTGCATTTGAGTCTAACCTGAGCTGAACATTCTGCACATTGCCATCCCTAAAGCTCTGCCACTAGCAAGGATCAAAACACCACTGCCTTCTGCATACATCCTGCTCAGTCTTTTCAACTGTAAAGAACCCTTTTATTTCATTGCCAGTGCAGTATGTTTTAAAAAACTTTGTAGTCTATATAAATCCCCTTCAAGTTATGCTTCAATGATGACAAATGTTGCACTGTTACAGGAAACAAAATGATGATGGAAGATGAAAGTTGCATCTTAGGCAGGAAACAACAGATCTTTCTGCCATTTAGCCCCACAACAAAACATGAACCATGGCCATTCAATTAAAATAAATGTTCTTTCTGAATTTAAAGAAAGTATGTGAATATTGAACTAGGTTGTAATTGATTTATTCCCCAGAGTCAGGGAACTTCTGTGTAAAGGGCTTTTGAAGCACAGAATTCCTGTGTATACTTTCTGCGTAGGCAACCAGCTCCCAAGAGCACTGCCTCGTGTTCTTACTTTAAATGAGCTGTCTCGTTGACTTTTAAGTGAAACCTCCGACCTCCTACTAGTCTCCCACTAAAGTTCCTCCTATTGTCTGCTTTCCCGTCTTCATTTCCCTCCTCTTCCAGTATCCAAAAAAGCAACCTGTTTGTTATCGATTACACTTCTGCTCACATCTTTTTCTGCTTTTGTGTTCTGCTCTGCTTAAACTGGCTGCGTTTTATGCTTTTGTTGTTGTTGTTTTTCCCCCTCTATCCCACACACACACACACACACACACACACACACACACACACACACACACACACACACACACACAGAAAGTAAAGTGTTTCACGCATTCTAGTGTAAACAGATGTTTCGAACTCTTCTGTTGCGTATTAGAAGACGTTAAGCTGTTCAAACCAATCAAGCGGAGCCAGATCTTGACCTTTTTTCTCAAAAACACTGCAATACAACAAGGCATCCACTGGATTTGGAAGTGACAAAATGAAGAATAAAAGGCAGAATGAGAGGGAATGATGTAGTAGCAAGAGAAGTGCAGGTTGTGTTTGTGTGTGTGCAGCATTACTCATTCATACAGGCCTCTGATCCCTGGCTGAGAGAGAGTAAAGCCCCCCTCTCTCTCTCGCTCTCTCCTCTGACTTCACATTTCAAAATTCATTGCTGGGCTCTTGGTATTCCTCAGACCGAGCTCCAAGAAGAATCAACTATCCCATTCACCCATCAATGATTCACTGTCATGCCCACGGCTGGAATTTAACAACACACAGCCACAGAAAGCTCTGCAAGTGTGTGCTTGTGTGCTAGAAAGTGAGTGAGTGATAAAGCATTTGAAATTTGCCCATTCAAGAGATGGTCACCCCATGAAAATGCCTCTGAAAGGATCATTTCGAGACTGATTGTGTGTAGGCTATTGTTTTACCACACAAAAGAAGAAATTATTTTGATCGCATCCTAGTTGCTGCAAAAGAGTAAAGGCCTCTCGTCTGAAACCTTTGAATAATTAAATGGGATAGTTTGATATTGCAGCCAGACTGCAGGTAGATTTGATGCAGGTCCAGCTCGTACACAGACATCCCAGAAATCAAAGCAGTCTTTGACGTACCTGAGCATGACAGAAGTCCTTGAATGAGAGAAGGCTTGGATCAATACACCCTTATTAGTTCACAGTCCACTCACACGGGACACTCTTTTTGTCAGCCAGAGAGAGAAGAGAGGATGTTTGATTGCGTCATGCTTTTTTTGTCTATTGTCCAGATCCCCTATGTAGTAATTAATGGAAAAAAGGTGATACAGACAGGCAGACGAACGTAGCTTCAAATCAGAATGCCGTTAAGCTTTTTTCCAAGAGCGAGCTTTGATGGCTCCCTCGGATGAAACGGGCCGAGTTCATGAAAGCGAGGACAATTTTAGGAATGAGTTCTGACTGGAATTCTGCATCAGGTGTGTCATAAATAAGTCATTTTAAGAGCAGGGTGCCTTAACATTGCCTTCAGTGAAGCAGCAGTTAGCATGACATCAAACCTGCCACTCTGCTGCTTTCCCAGTTCATCTTGATCTCTCAGGGGCTTCTGTCAGCTGTGTAGGTGAAAAGAGATTGGAGAAAGATGAGTTGATGTCTCCCCTTCTGATGTTTCACGCTGAGAGCTGTGAGAAAATCATCATCATCATCACCACTACTTGTTTCCATTCTCTATTCTTATTATCTTCTTTAAAAAGCTTTTTGTCTTGTAATTAGGAAAGTTGATTGACTTTAAAAAAGAAAGAAAACTCACCTATTGGCTATTTGTTTCCACCTACCACTTACAAATCTCCTCTGAAGAAATCTGCTTTGTCTCAAAGATGGTGTGATATTTAAAATCAGTGAGCGAGTTCACATATGCACTGGTATTGTGTTTTTGATTATATTCTGGATACTGTGTTTAAATGGAACATGAGAAACCCGGTTATTCATATAACTGTATACATGATTATAACAGTATCCAGATTTCTGATAATCTGTGTCCAGTTGTGTCTTGATGTCTCACCATCTCAGCCACGAGGTTCTGTACTAACACAACGTTCAGAAACCTGTTCAGTCGTTCACATGCCACAGTATCCTGGTTTATATCAGAGTACTCAAGGTAGCGTATCCCGGTTTCCAGGGTAAGATCATATCCAGGAAACCAGGATAAGCTGTGTACATAAGCAATACATAACCATGACACTCCAAAAACCTTATAATAACCATGACACGATTATTATCATTGTATGTCAAATCTTCCACAATTGAGCTGATTGCCATACTCAAATTGAAAGAGGTATAATTAGTCTCTTTAATCTTAAACTTGCTCTGTGAAGCACGTTAGACTACGTGTTTGTATGAAAGATGCTATATAAATAAAGTTGAGAGTGAGATATTGCCATGTCCACTTTCTTGTATTATCTGCATGGAGGGATATGTAATGACTGAAATACTGTAAGATACAAGATGCTATTTAAGAAAAGCAATCAGTGGGTATTTGTCCTGAAAACAATGACTTGAGCACTGTGACAAAGAAAGATGGAAGCAGGCAAAAGAGAAGGAGAAATAAATAAGGGATTAGGATAATGTATAGTTTAGTTAGGCCCAGGTCTAATCTCCTTATGAATTCAGTTTCACCTTATCTTCAAAAGTGTCAAGGTAATGATGTAATAAGTTGATTAACAAGAAAATAGAAGCAGTTTCAGCTCCACAAAAAAAAGATTAAAAGGTTAACAGATAGCAGGAGGTGGAAGTTATTGGATGTTGGAGGCAATACATATTTTTAGTCTCGTTTCAGCACTGAAGTGTCTGTGAGAAAGCCATTCTCAAATCTGTCTCGTACGTCAGCCTCGGCACTGTGACCAGATAATCTCATGGGATTTCTATCACACAGGTGCCGCTGTTTATTTATTCTTCCCTCGACACATTCACTGCCCCCAGCGAGCATCGCTAACACCGGCTAACTCTCTGTCACTACAAGCTAACAGAGCTTTATGCCTATTGTCCCCGACCCCCTCAAGGCCCTCCAGTCCCGTTCTGGGCTCCGATGGCTGGCCCGCTAGTCTGTGTGATCTCCACCGCAGGCATTACTCACTCCAGTTCTCCAGAGCTGACAGGTGTGTGTGATAGAAATGTCCCGTAAGCCAATGCAGCCAGAGCTCTGA